TCTTCGTTAAGAGGCGCATCGAGATACGCATTTAAAAAATTCACCTTTAGAAGTCGATAGATGCGCAAGTCTTGCAACTCCAACATATCGCGCGGCTCGTCTACGATTACGTACCCAGTCCTAACTTTTCCTTTGCTGGCGGCATTTATGTTTGGGCCAGGTAACCCTTTTAACGCATGCCGGTTTGCCGTTGTCCTGGTTTTACGGGCCAGAAATATAAGCCAATTCAGGATGGTTTGGTCCAGTCGAACATGAACACGTTTTACTATGATTTTTCCTCCTTTAATCGACGTCTGACAGCTTTGAGAAGCCAACTGGACGAGAATCATGCTACCGGCGATACCATCAAGGAGTAAGGTTTTTTAAATTGTATTCAAATAATTATTTATTAATTGATTAATTTTATTTTATTTAGTTATCGATTAATTTTAACTTGATTTTATTTATTAAATGAATTGGCTATTTGGTCAGAAATTTAAAAAATTTGCTCGAGTTTTTTTTCTAGAAGCTGTTGCCAATCTTCAAGAAGGGAAAGTTCAGCATTGTTTGCGAAAAAATAAGACCAATTTAGTACTATCGAACTAATCAATAAGCTCAATTTCTGGGACGACACAATGTTAATATTCTTTACCGCAAGGTATGGGTGAACAAAATTAAACGGATCGACGGAAATTTACAGCAGCAGTGATGAAATTCTTCAAGCACCAATGAACGATAAATACGCAATGACCTATGCTTGGGATATGTACGCCTCTCCCGAAGGGCTTTCGCGGGTCGCAAACCTTATTTCATCACCGTTCTACGACGGAATGCTCGCCAGCATACGCGGATTCTGCAGTCGATTTGGAGCTCTATAAACGTTGCTGTTCTGAATCGAAAAAACCAAGTTCTGTGATAAATATGAAATAACTGCAGTTATTTCTTGACATTTCGTACGCGAAAAAGAAACGCCAATGAATTTCCGACTGTTGCATCCGTGGACGCAATTTTCCCTGCGAATCATCGATCGGTAATTTCAGAATCGTTTTAGCACGATTGAATTGATTAATCGCCACAACTTTATTGACAATACGATGCTCATATTTTTCTTTAATAGGTGCTAGCAACGAATTTTGAGGATCAGGTTTTAGTCCGCAAAGGGAAGTGGATGCTGCGCCAAATAACACGCACCTGCCGATGACCTACGCATCAACTTTTGAAGAAAAGACGGACCTATCGCGGGTGGCGAACCCGATTCCATCTCCCGTTTTGAAAGGAATTGCCAATAGTATCGGCAATTTTTGCAGCCGTTCAGTATCTTCTGCACTGCCAGGTATTTTTTTTTATTAGCTACTGAAATAAACATTTTATACTATTTAGCTTTAGATTATTTAGATCAAAAAAAACAGAAAAAACCTTCATTGAGAAACTCGCAGAATGGATGACTCTGGATCCAAACCATCATTAAAAATAAAGTATCTATGATTTCTTTAATAATTGGTCAATTTGACGGTGCAAATCCCGACGCTAATGCTTACCGAAGCCTAAGCCTAAGCCCAATTCTAAACCAAAACTCGAGGTTACTCGTTACCTTCGCAGTTGACCTTTACCACACCACACCCCAGGGCTACTTGCCAACCTAATACCCGTCCACACCCTTATCAAGGAGTAGCCATGGCCTACTTTTTTCTATTTCTCAGGCTCCTCATACAGAGATCTATCCTTTTTTGCAAAAAAAAGCAGGCCCTGTGCCTGACCCTATCAGCTGACCATCCGGATCACTTGGATGCAAAACATGGAGTCAGGAGGGAGAGGGAGAGAGAGAGCGAGAGAGAGCTAGGTTATAGAGTCAGAGACATCACGAGCAAAAATCAGAGATAAAAATCCTCTATTCAGCCTCTTTTCCGGTCGATTAAGTTGGCCAAGGCCAAGGCGTTCCCTCTACATTCAGAAAAGGTCGCCGAAACGCGATCAGTCGGAAAAACGGGAGAACGGCTGAAAACGGATCGTCGTCAGCAGTGCCAGGCGGCGTTTTTCGGCGTGAAGGTGTATAAATATCTGTGGAGGTCGAGTTGGAATGGAAAATGACTCGATGAGGCCGAGTTTTTTTAGCTTGCTCTAATTAGGACTCGTAAACGAAACTTCACGTCTTTTCCGAAATATGCACCTTAAGTAAATTAGCTCAAATCGTGGTTTGGCTGATTTTGCGAAATGCATGCAACTACCCTAGTTTACTACGCATGGCAAGTTAGGCATAAAAACGGAGTCTAAAGAAATTAGCATAAAGGTATTAATAGTTGCAGAGAATCTATCTTCTCTCTCTCTCTCTCTCTCTCTCTCTCTCTCTCTCTTTCTCTCTCACACTCTCTTTACATATCTGTCGCTCTCTCTTTCTCTCGCTTTCTCATCTTCTCTCCCTCATCATTACTCTTGCCTGCATCTATGTGGTCTAATTTTTCGAATTGCGATGACTTCATTCTACCCTGAAGTTACTCCGCAAGACTCAGACAGCCGCTAACAACGGCTCATAATTCTTTTTTGCTAATTGCAAATTTCTAGTTAACAAGATCTTCCGCCGAGCCGATCAATTCTCCAGGTTAGACACCCTTGAATTTCTACAATTTCCGTCTGGAACCGACACTAACCACAAAATTACACAACCCGAAAACGAGAGACGAGCCGAGAAACGAGTAAAACAACGATCAGCGGTGGCCAGTTTCACTCGAGAGATTTCTCTCATTTTTAGACGGTCTGCAGCTGGGCGAGCACTAGTCTGCTATTTGCTAGACTAGTTCGCAGAAAGGCGACGCTCACGGATTTTCCTTTCCCTTCCCGGCTTTCTTTCTTTCTCGTTTTTCATCCGCCTAAAAGTTGACCGGCCACCCACCCAGCCAAATGCCAATGATCCTCTTGTTGTCGTGAGTATTTTGTCGTCAGGGTCACGTTGTTTACGGCCAACAACCACCGCGTTTTTTTGGGCACGCGCGCCCGCAAAATATCCAGAGCTTTTTTTGCGATCTATCAAGTTGGAAGAGGGGGAGACAGAGCGTGCGCGTGATTTCCGGAAAATTTAGATGTTTTGGAGGGCACGTACTTATTGGATGTACATTTTTGACAGGGCTTTCGGTGCCTCGTACTCACACTTTGAGGTCGAGAACAAGGTTTTTTTAGGATTTTAGCAGACATGGCAATCCCGGCCGGCCCAGCCGCACGGCCGAGCCGCCGGCCTAATTTCCATAAAAACCCGGCCCCCTACGAGCCGCGTTAATGACTTACTTCCGGAAAACCGGCTTCCCGGCCCAGCCGGCTTTTTGTTGCGGCCCGGCCAAGCCGGTCCGGCCGAGCCGGGAAACCGGAAGTTGTTCATTTACGTGAGAATCCGTGAATCCTATGCAAATTTGTGAATGGAAATCACAAAGTTTCTATGGTAGAATAGTTTTTCTCTCGCCATAAAGCTAATTATTGATTGAATCCGCAATTTGCGTACCGGAAACGCGAAAATCTCATTTGGGTCCGGCTTTCCGGCTTTTCAAAAGCCGGCGGCTTGGCCGGGGCTCCGGCCTCAGAACAGAAAAAAGCCGGGGCCGGACCGGAAGCTCCGGCCCAGCCGCGCGGCTCGGCCGCATGCTAATTTTTCCGGCCGAAAAAAAGCCAGCGGCCCGGCCGTTTGCCATGTCTGGATTTTAGCGCTTCTGATTGCATACGTACCTTTTCTACTCCCACCATAATTTGGATCTCTAAAATTACGTTTAAGGAACGGGCAAACAATTACTCGCCATTTTGTTGGCTGTGAATTCCGAGCATATGAAGTCACGCTCGCGACACGCAACACGCAATTTAAAAGAGTTAGTAGGATAGAAATAGATGGCTTCCGTTACTCGAAGCCTGCTGCATTGCGCGTTCTTAACTTGAGGTTTTTCACGTCTTAGCCACCTGTAATTCGTCACCAACGAATCCTTAAGGTTTTTCTACATCAAGTTTTCAATACGATCTGACTCTATCAATTAAGCAAATTATACTTAATCGCATCGTCATTAACCAAAAAAATGTATTGACCATCTTCCTGTAATTCTCTGGGTTTGCAAGTATCAGTCTAGTCGTGTTTTTAAACTTGACGGCTTGGCTTTCTTTGATTTCTGTTTTGAATCTGTTTCGATCCACCTAATTTTCCGAAATCGTGTTTCGGATCTCCACGTTACCGAAAACTTTTCAGAGAGTCGATCCGTGCTCGCTAGTTTTTTGAACGCTATCTTACTCTCGCTTTTCCGAAAACTAGGTTTTCTCATTTTTTGCCTGCTTTCCGCTAGCTTTTTCCCCAGCTAAAACCGCCTCCTCCCAGCGTCCGGATTCGCCAAGAGAAAAATGAGATCATTCTATTTTCCTATTTTCCTGATTTAGATCTTTTTGGGATCCTGGCATCAACAATTTCGTTATTTTCGATTCAGGCTTCGGGATGCTGGGTGACCCGAAAGATTGCAATTCCCACCAGGTCACCCCAAAAAAGGGCTGAAAGGGAATCGCGGTTTTTGGGGTTCAAAAGGGGCGGAGCTTGCGGTTAGAGAAAGCGAGAACGAGAGAGAGAGAGAGAAAGAGAGAGAGAGAGAGAGAGTGTGAGGGAGAGAGAGAGAGAGAGGTTGGAAAACGGAAAATAGGTCCCGGCGAGAGTTTGACAACCTCCTGGCCTACACCCAGATATTTAATGGGCAGTCGGTCAAGGCTTCACGATCAGTATCGCCCGGCCCCTGGAAAATGACCGTCTACCCCGGGTTTCGCTTTCTGCCTCTTGCTATCTCAATTTTCTCTTTTTCTGCTAGGGTTTTTGCTAGCTGCAAAGTACTGTATCAAAGTGGGTGTTTCGGAGATTGTCGGGTTAAAATGGCGACTTCATTTTTTGTGTCTTCAATATCCTTGTAATAAGGATAAATGTACATAAGCTAGATCCTATGTTTTTCAGTACTGAAATATCGAGCAAAATCAGAAATATGATTACTAGGAATTTTATAGTAAACTAATAAAACCTTAATTTTTTTGTAGATATTTTGAAGGTAAAAATCTACGTAAAAGTTAAAACAAACAATAGCCATTTTTTTGCTTTGACGTTTTGCATAATTGTCTAACAGGTTCCGTTCTGTTTAGGCATGGACTTAGGCTTCTGCTTAGGTTTAGGCTAAGGCTTTGACTCAGGCTTCAGGGACAGATCCGCGTCATTAATTTTTCAAAAATACCAGGGCCTCATGACCATTCCAAATTACTATGCAATTCCAGTGGTAGTGGACGTGTCACTACTGTCCTTCTCTTTCTTCTATACAACCCACCTCCTCTTCCTCCTTCCTCCCCCTCTATTTCGTTGCCTTCCTTCCATTTGACAAGTCGGCGAGATCGGCCGATAAAATTTCATCACGATTCATCTGCCGCCTGGCCAACCAGTTACCCCTCGCTTCCTACTCTTTTCCTTCCTTCCTTCCTTCCTTCTTTCGTTCTTCTTCTCCCAAAATTTCCCTTGCCGCCATTTTTGAGGATATTAGGCCTAAAATTCGTCAGATTTCGGTTAACGTATTTTTCTTGCCGTTTTACGAACTTTGGCAATGGAATTGAACATTATAACGCGCTATACAAGAAATCTAAGCGATTTTTTCGATACTAAAAATCGTATACGAAAAATTGTGGCTTTTTTTGCTTGTGATGAGGTTTTTCGTATTTTTATAGATATTTGTCTTAATGCGTTTATAGTTAAAAAATGGAGCGCAATGATCGTATCAACCCGGTTGACAACATTTCCGAGAGACTCCGCGCTACACTTGCAGAACAGGAAAAGGTCAGTATTTGAACAACTAAAGTACCCATAGTGGTATGAAAGGGAGTGTGACAGCCTGAGGAGAGAGAGAGAGTGTGTGACCGGAGTGTGAGAGAAAGGGAGAGAGAGAGGGAGTGAGAGAACTCTAAAAGTTTTAACTTCTATTTTCCAGGCAGTCAATATCGCCTCCACCGCCACCGGCGTCATCATCTCCCTGTGCTTCTTCGTTCTACCCCTCGTCTGGTCGAACTGCCTCCGAATTCTCCCGATCCAGAATTCCCCTCCCGGTGCCGGGGACCCCTGGAGCGAGTTCACCGAGTTGTAGATGATGGTCTACGCGACACTACCTAACTCTCTCACTGACATTTCGACATCTCGACTCCCAAGGGACATACTACGGTAGCTGAATTCTAGTCACAACCTCCTTGCAATCAAATTCCGAAACCCCAGTTCAATCCCAATTCCATGAATCGCTAACGGTTGCTTGTTGTTATTTGCTGGTTTTTGTCTTTTTTGGAGGATTTGAGGTTGTAGTTTGTATGTAGCCATGAGCTGATTCCATTTTGATGCCATTATTTTTTCATTTTTTGTCCCAAATCTGCCTCTTTTTCTTATCGACATCTTTCCAATTTCTGGCGCTCCCCATTGCGGGTCACCCTTTTTACGGCGCGCCATATTTTTGTATCCCCCGGGCACGTGGAAGGTCGCGCTGGTCGAGAAGGACGAACACGAACCGTGTCCGAACCGTTCGCCCGCCAAACCGGTTCCACCCGCCCGTCAGTTGGCGCGTTTCGGAAAACGTTTTGTTTTCGTCCAACTTGTGTGCGCGAGACGCGGTGGCGTGGACACTGACCGTTCCGCCAGGCGTTTTTTGCTCGCTCTCTCTGTCTCTATGTATCTCTCTCTCTCTCTCTCTCTCTCTTTCTCTCTCTCTTTCTCTTTCTCGCATCGAACACACTTCCAGGATGATGTACTTATTTGACGAGTCAATTGCCTCTCCTCGGGTAATATGGTGTCTGGTGAATTAATAAATATTAAGGCATTTGGAAGTCCGAAAAACACACACGGAGATTATGAATTGAGAGTGATATGACTTGACGTCATTAAGATTATCCTTCCCGTGTTTTAAAAAAGTTTGGAAGTCCAAAGAAGCTGGAAAGAACAGACTTTGGGACAGTGCCGGTAGTTTTTCTGAAAGAGTTCTTGCAGCTGGCAAAACGGGGGGATGTGAAAGCCCAAATCGTACCCATTTTAGAGAACGATTAAAGAGGCCAACACGTCAACTAAGACTAGAAACTACAAGTTTTGGAAGGAGATAAGAGGTGCAGGAGGGTGAGAGCTAATTGAGTTGTATTTCTTTGTATGGTAGGTCCTTAAACCGCCCCACGAAGTTAGAAACTCCAGCTGTATTTTGCTGTCTAGGGCAAGCTAGCAAAATTTCCTGGGGGAAGTGCTTGCAGCTTGTCACATCTGTATTGCAAATATGCGTACCACAAAAAAACAAAATCTTTTCTATATTCAATGCAACCACACGTTTCGTTTTCTCGTCGGTCCATGGTACTTCTTCCATAGGATGTCGAATCTGGAAGGCGCTTTTGAAATTCGCTGCTTCATTTTGGACCGATATGCAAATGGCCGTCACGGGCTGTACTCACCTCATCAAAGGCTGCTTCAACATCTCACCGCTGATATTTTTTGCGCCTTCCGCTTTTTTTGCTCTACCGTAATTGGGCAGGGTCCCTCGTTGCCGGAGATATTCTGGAAAAAATTGCATAAACCCAAAAATTTGTTTGAAACAGTTAAAACTAGCTAAAGCCACATTAAAATTCTACCGATTATGTAGAACCGGAAGCCTTGAATCGTACGAGCCACAATATTTAAGAAGTCACCAGGGTTGAAGAGCCGCTTCGCGACTTTTCAACCCTGGCCCTGTCCAACCCATAATATTCTTCACTCTGCATACGTTTCTCGAATTCCCTGCATTGAAAAAATGAAAAACGCCCCTCTCTCGCATTATATATAGGCTACCGTCACTTCCGGAGTATGCTATTTTTTCCTAACAAAGAGATCGGCCGATTTTTCAACAAAAACTTAATTTTAAAGTCGAAAATAGCAGAATTTGCAACATTTGATATGCGTGCAGTCATCCCAGAGCCATTACCCATCTAATGACGTATCATACGTCGCTTAATACCCTTCCCTTCTTGAGATATCTTCCGGACACCCTGACGGAAGTTGCATGCAAAGTGGCACACACACACACTAACACACAGACACTATTTTTTTATATATAGTAGGATTAAGGCATCAAAATTTATGTAAAGTGTGTTTTAATTATGCCAGGTTTTATGGAATTTTTAGACAACTGCAAGGAAAAATCTTAGCTGTCCCTGTGTCATTAAACTTCGAAAAAAACGAAACTTAAGGACCGTAAGTCTTGAAATCTTATACCGCCATTAATGCGTCATGAAAGGCCTTGAAAGAGAATGTGAAAGCAAAAATTGATGGTTTTATTGAGCTCGCTGTTCAAACATTTTTTTCCGTTCAACCCAAAATTTACGTTTTTTCCAAAAAAATCTTTGAATGTTTATCCTATTTTCTTTCACTGCCTCACTGTTCTGCATGTCATACTCCCTTAAAAACCCTGCAAACCCAAAAAGCCAAATATTTGAAACGCACTCTCTTCAGGCGTGTACGGGTACTTGCCAAGCAACAGCCGCAACTGGTACCGGATCGACGAATCTTTTTTGGAACATTTTAAACAACATAAAGCGCTTACCTCTTACCCGCTCGTTAAGCGCGGTCAACGCCAATGCATTGGGGTGGGGCCGGATGAAAAGATTGCCGTCGACCATCAAATATAGGAGGAACAGAGCGAATACCTCCCGCATACCTGGAAAGTAGCGGATCTATTAGTGGCCGCCTTGTAAGAAAAGAGGGTAATAAGACATATTTCGAGAGGAAAATGTCAATCCGAAAGTCGTACGGTCTCGTATGCCGAAAATGCCGTATTTCTGCACATTTTTCAAAGCTTCAGAACTGAAGTTTTTTACGGGCCAAACATCGCTAACACCACCTCTTTAAACGGAATCCCCAATGTATTAAGGGAATTGAGGCAGTAATTTTGAGCCCCTTCGAGGTGCTATAGGTGACTACTCTCTGACACCAAACTGATGATTTTCCGTTGCGTTCGCGCCAACAATTTGCAGATTTTTTTCTAAAGTACGAGCTTCGGAATTATGCCAGTGAAAGAATTGGTCATTTTGTAGGCATAATTTTAGGAAAAATTTTTGTAGGTAGTCTATCGGGTAACTTGCGTCCTGAGCGTCACAGGCAGTTACAGGTTGTAGTCAAAATCAAAAGGGTTACAGTATTCCGGGAAGCCCTTCATCGTCAAGCCAGAACAATTGCGATTGCCTCTCAATGATACGCAGAGCATAGTTCGAAAAGTTTTTACTGACCTCATCCTACCGTAATCTAAGATTTCGCGACACTCCGCTACCCTAAATTCTGCTTGGACGCCCTGTAGGGGTAAAACCTTGCGACAATTCATAGCTCGGTACTCAATCCTAAGCTGTATCGCTTAATCAAGTCAATCAGTTTTGAAACGTCAGGTTTCAAGGCAGTCCATGCTTCCTTAGTATGAGGCAATTTTTGAACGTCACCCATTTAAAGTTGGCAACCTACAAAAATAGTCAAAAAAAAAAGGGGAAATGACGAATGGCTCCAGATCAACTCGGGTCGAGTATATGTAGTCCTCATTCCGGTGGGTGGATGATATAGTGTGAGTTGGATGCAATGTATGTGGGTGTTACTCCATCTCTCTCTCTCTCCCTCTCTCTCTCTCCACTTCTGTGTGTTGAGTATGTATGCGTACTGGGAAATTGGGTGGATCAAGGAGGAGACGGCTTCTTCTTCTTTTCTTTCCCCATATCGGGTCTTCTGGGGCCTTTCCACAGTAGAGGGCCCAGGGCCAAAGGGCCCACCAGTAGGGCCCAAATGGACTAATTATCTATCCCTTCCAGCACCCATCCCGACCAAAATGTCATCCCACACAAATTTCTTACTCGCCCAGCACTCGCCACTTTTGGGCATATATGGTGTCTCCGTGAGAAACTAAAAGTCGTTTCCGGAAATGCATACGTGTTGCGGTATTTTAGAGGGCATGGAACGGCGGAAAAAACCAGGGCACTACAGTACGTTCGTGTAGATTCTGGACCACGGTCAGTTTTAAGTATCCTTTGAGGTTCGTCATTGTGCAGGATACTATTCTGTGCCACTTCCATATGTATAAAATACAAGAGGTGAGACGCTAGAGGTTAAAATTAGTCAGAAAACCACAGCAAACTTCCGCCAATTCCGTATTACACCAATTATTTTCTCGAGCTTCTTGATCCAAATTACTTTTGTTTTAAAATGTCCAGGTATGGTAAAGTATGCTTAATTATTCATGGAACTTGAAAATCAAACAATGATACAAAGACCAGCCGGGCACAGTAGCTTCCGGGGGCGAAAAATGTTCGACCGATCCCGAAGGTTCCACGACGCTGGGGAAGCCGAATTATCGAGGCAGTAAGGGTACCAGGAATAACTTTGTGTTTCTCAGCTTATTTTTATCTACGAGATTTCCGTGCGGAAGGAAAAGGTCTGTTAATAGCTACCTTGGAGCTACGAGTTTCTCTAGCGGGGGTGGAACCCAAAAATGCAACCGTGATTGCTAGGTTGTAAACAGAGATTTAGTTTGATACCAATTATTTCTGAAAATTGAGAGGAAGAAGAACAAAAATCAGAAGCGAGGGGTGTCATTTTAAAGTGCAAAATTAAAAATTTCTGTGTTGTGCAATTCAAATGAGCTTATTTTTGTACAAAAACGTCAAATAGACTCGATCTGGCTTAGAATTGCAATGTTTATCGATTGGGTTTTGCAGTTAAAATAACACATTTAAATTATGACTTTTACACGGCGAACCCCCCGATTCCAAGCCAAGAACACTTTATATACCGACTAAGCCCAATCATTCCCCGGTCCGGACAATCTAATTTTTGCGCCATTTTCAACGCCAACCGAAAAGGCAACAACAATGAAAAACAAGACACGTTTTGGGGTCAGAGGCAAGTACACGGAACCATGCGGTATCTAGTCGAATTATCCTACGAAGTGGGCGTTCCGGGTAACGCCAATTTTTTTTTGAGCACTGCTACCCACCCACACCCCTATGCATCCAGGATTAGTAGGTAGCTGTTTTCAGCTTGCGAAAATTTTTGGATTTGTTTTTGAGCATGATGGGGTGAGAAAATCAACTTGAAAAAATCGGCTATTCG